CTGGGTTACAAAAGAAAAATTGAAAAACAACAAATGTTTTGAAATAAAGAGAATGCAGAGTCTATTCAATAAGAAGATAAGGATAAAATAAATATCTAGAACATATTTATCAACTTTAAATAGTATATTTGATGAAGAAGACAAAGTGGGGAGAGAGAGAAAATATTTAGGAGTTCAAACTGACTCTTAAGCAATTGAAAGTCAAAAATATATCCACTGAACCAAAGATAACCTTGATGAGATAAAAAGAGCCATAAAATCAGCAAAGACTAGCAAAACCACTTCACCAAATGAAATATCCATCAAAATAAACTTTATTGACTTTATTAAACAGATTTCACTTTTTGAAATCTGTTCAATAAAGTATACAAAACAGGACATGTAACTAATAAAAAATTAAAATCATTTAAGATGCGCATCTACAGAAGAATATTAAGATAAACTGTATAAACTGCATAGGAAATGAAATAGTTCACCACTGATTGTAATACTGGAATATTTCGCATATGTGATGAGACATTCTGAGAAGTATAACCTGATACACATCATAAAGCAGAGCAAGATTTCCAAAAGAAAGGGCTTAAGCCAAAGAAGGAAATTGTGGCTCTGAAATCTACCATGAGACAAGAAAGAGCAGTACCATAAGACATCTGCTTTTCTATTTTGAACCTCAGCAAATAACATTATTGTAGCCAATTATGATCTCTAAAGTTTACAAATCTAGTACAATTATAATACTAGAAGCTTATTTATTGGTACAAAGCAGAACAGGTTATCCTAAAAAATAATTGTTTATAGAGTGCTTCATTTGTCTTTCTTGATCTTTAATATAATATGATTCTGAGTCCACATTTTATGATTGTAACTGGCTATAGGCAGATTTATGGCAATTTCATTTTAACAACCATTTAAATTGGAAATTGTCAATTCTCTTTATATACACAACATAATTTTTGTTTGTTTTAATTTGTCATGGTAATAAGCTAATAATATGTATATTGTTAAATGTCTTTGTGATTTGTGTTATATTAATTTATATATAAGATATCAAACAAATGTCTATTAAATTGGATAAATAAGTAAATAACCTGTATGAAGCAATAATACAGATGGTAAAGGATTCATGCATATAAAAAATAGGACAAAGTCTAGAGAACATTCTGAATTCTGAATGAAGTTAGTTACAAAGAAACTTCAGTAAAATGCAAATTTGTGTTTGTGGTATTGCCATGTCCTTATTATGTATATGTTTTATTCCTCAAATATACACAGAGAAAGGTTTGAAACAGTACATTTTTTATTATTTTATGGAATCTGGTCTTTTTTAATTTTTTTTTATTTATATAAAACACAAACAAATGTATATTTGTTTCTTTTGATATTAGTTGCAATTAGTTATTAGAAAAAAAATTTGCAATTGCCCTTTGATAGATTTGCAGATAAATTTTGCAACAGTGTCAGAACCTTCAAAACACTGGTTGCCAGATTGCAACAGATGTTCAGCATATATCAATTTTATGACCATCAGATCTGCAGTCATTGAAATAATTACATTTTGTCAAATTTACATTACAGAGATTAAACTATCATTATTGACAATTTAATCCATAAAATGTGAATTTGTAATCTTATATTTATTTTCGTAGCAGCTGCTGTTAAAGTGGTTGAAACGTTACATTGTATAATTTTGTTAAGGATTGTGGCTCATTTTTATATAGATAATAAGAAAATATGCCCGACAGTGATGTTTCCATTCAGGCCACATCAGGCATATCTGCTTGATGTGCACTTTTGTGTAAAAGGTCTCGTCAGTCATATCTGATTGACGATACATATATTTCCTTATGAGATTTTAAATAGTAGCCTGTCCCGAATATAAAGCTATACTTGATTTAGGCAAATTTGGATATTTGCAATTTTTTTGATAGTTTTAAAATGAAACATAATATACCTAATTTCTCCAAAGAAGACAATGCTAATCTTGTTAATAATAATACAAATTATATTGTTCTTTGTCTCTAAGATCACTATCTTCTTGTAGATTTAAAGTATAATTATAATTCTGTCTCCTGTATTACTAAAAATTTTTCGTTTTTCATTAAGTACTGGCACTTTCCCAGAAGAGTGGAAAAAAAGTTATATTTCTCCTATTTTTAAGAATGGTAGTAAAACATGTATAGAAAATTACAGACCCATTTCCAAAATTTCTATTTTTGCAAAGATTTTTGAGTCACTTATTGCTTCAAAAATATTTTTTCCAATAAAAAGTTTAATTATTCCTGAACAACACGGCTTTATGCCGGGTAGGTCTACGACCACCAATCTAGTGATCCTAGAAGAATTCATTTTGGATGCCTTTGGGAAGGGGGCTCAGGTCGATGTGATCTATACCGACTTCTCAAAGGCATTTGATCGTGTTAACATCAAGATTCTTATAAAAAAACTAGAGGTACTAGGAATTCATGGATCCCTGCTTGAGTGGTTGGAGAGCTAACTGACAGACAGGCTTCAGGTTGTCAAAGTCAAAAACTGTCTTTCTGAAGAGATTTTGGTTAGGTCTGGCGTCCCACAGGGTGGTCATTTATCGACTATTCTTTTTATTTGTTTCATAAATGACATTTTAGAAATCTTTGAAAATTGTGTTATTTTGTTGTATGCTGATGATTTGAAAATTTTTAGAATTATTAAGGATGTTAGAGACTGTGTAAAAATGCAAAAAGATGTAAATAATTTCTCAAAATGGTGTACAAAGAATGACCTTTCACTTAATATCGATAAATGTAAAATAATGCGCTTTTTTAGAAACTCACAACCTATCTGTTTTAATTACTCTTTAAATAATATATTTCTGGAACCAACAAACACTTTCAAAGATTTAGGTGTATTTTTTGATCCCACTTTATGTTTCAAAAATCACTATAATTTTATTTGTAATAAAGCTTTTAAATTACTTGGATTTTTGAAAAGAACCTTGTCAGAATTCAATAACCTAGATTGTTTTAAAAGTGTGTATTGTTCTATGGTTAGATCAGTTCTGGAATATTCCAGCACTATTTGGTCTCCTTTATATAAATGTCATATTGAAAACATTGAGAAAGTTCAGAAAAAATTTTTGCGCTTTGTAGGCTATAAATTAGGAATTTCTTCAGAAGATATAGTGTATTGTGACATTTTAAAATTACTTAATATACCAACATTAGAAAATCGTCGTTTAATGCTAGATTTGGTTTTTCTTTTCAAGATTGTAAACGGAATGATAGATTCGCCTCAAATTTTGCAGAGAATAGGTCTTAGGGTTCCTCAAAGGTGCACAAGATCCAAGGACGTTTTTTACTTAGAATTCCAACAAACAAACTATTGTCTAAATAGACCTATAAGACGAATGTGTCAATCTGGAAATGGTTTAGATGTAGACTTTTTTTCTAGCTCTCTGAATAGTTTTCGAAAAAAGCTGAAAAAATCTTTTTAAAATACAATGTAGGCTGTCACTGTAAACTGTCATTTAGGTATTTATTCTATTTATTGGTCTTGTGTAAATTGTATGTAAATATTATTGAATACTAAAACTGTTAATATGATATTATTTATTTAATGATTATAATTATTGTAATTGGTATAACCGTAAATAAACTATTTATTTATTTATTTATTTATTTATAATAATTTTAGTATGCAACAAATATTTTTTTCTTCTTATACACAAAAAAATACTAAATTAAAAAGAAACTTAACATTCAAATGCAAATCTACCTGGAGGTATGTAAAAACCACAGAAAGAATTATTTTAAAAACTAATACGAAGTATGTATGAGCCAAATTAAAGTAGTTCAGACATGTAAGAGGTTGGCCAGGACATTCTACGCACTAAGTGTAAACCAATTTTGTATGATTTCTGGCTACTTGTCTTCCCTCTGACACTTTTATTCAAGCATAGTAAGCAGCACAACTTCTTCTTATTCTCTTGCTTCTATCGTTTATTTTCTGTTCTAAATGATGAGTATTTCGTGCTGATGATTTTCTTCTTGTTCTTTTTTTCTCTATTTGCAAAAACTCTTCTACTAAGGATTCTCGAGTAGCACAAATTGAAAGTTTAGCTTTAGTGATTTTCTTGAATGCAACCCAAGTGTTGCGACACCTAATAAGAGTTCAAGACCTAGCTTGCAATACCACTTGATGCCCTTACAGAGGGTTGTTACATATGAGGCCATTTGGTCAGATAGATCAATTCCTCCTTTAACCTTGTTATAGGCAAGTACAGCCAAGGGTTTTTTAGTTGCCCTACATATTTTGCAGACTTTATTTTTTGCGTTACTCTGTTTTATAGTCAAGCAATGTGTTAAATGAATATTATATCACAAGGTCTTTTGCATGATTTAACATGGTAACACTGCAAATACAAAATTTCGTTCATTTGTAGCTACCTTCATTCAAAACATTCTCTAGACTTTGTCCAAAGCAGTCATAGACCAACACTACAATGTATATCAAAAGTTTATGATAGCTGCAACTATTCTCTGTAGTTGTCCAGTCCAATAAGCAGTCAGTATAAAATTCAGAGGCCCTGCAAGTCAATTGAATCAATAGTCTAAACTAGTACTACCATAATATCCAGTACTAAAATTACTTTGTCTCTAAAAAGTCTGTCTAATTATATACAATGGATTATTTTTATTTGGCAAAATTGTACATTAGTATAATACTCTGTATATTGTATGATTGTGATAACCCTTGCAAATAAAATCCATTCATTACTTGTGTTTGAAAAATATCCAAATCAATTTTTCCTAAATCAATTACTGAATAATCTTCAGCAAAATGAAAAATCTTTCTGTTAATTGTAGAAGACAAATTTCTCCGATTAATATCAAATTTTCTATGGTGCAGAATTTAATTAAAACTAGAGATATAATAAAGACTATAAGCTCTTCTTAAGTTGTTAAAAAATTGTAAACAAAAAGTGCTTATCATTTTTTAAATCATTTTAAACAAATCACTCTTACCTCTACCCATTTTGCTTGTTCTTCTCGCTAACTAATGCGTTATTTTTCTTTTATCTAATAAACATTGATTACATAGAAATGGGTCACACGATTTTCACTTCATAACAGAAGTTTTAATTACATTTTTATCTAATAACGGACTTCTACTAATCGTGAACAAATTTCAAACCACCAACGCCATTTAAATAAAAGTGTCAGCTGTTATATCATACGTCAACGTAAATGTCAAAGTCATTTTGACAGATCTATTACACTTTCTGCTGATTGATATACTCCATTCGCTTATTTCGGGCCGGGCATATTTTGACAAATTCATTGTCGGAAACCTACAACCAAAGAATATAGACGCTTATAAGCTTATAAGCGTCTATATTCTTTGCTACAACACAACAATTTCCTACTTCTCAAGTATATAGTAATAATAGCTCAAGTATACTACTATTGCAGACTTCTTTGTTTAAAAAAAGAAGAATTACTCTAAATAGTGGAAGTGTTAATTGGAAGTGTTAATAAGTGGAAATTAATTACATATCACTGATATTAAACCCATCAAATTTTCCCTGTATATTTAAAAATAATATTTGAGTTGTTACAATTTAATAAATTGTAGTAAATATTTGTATTATTCGCGTTGTTTATTTTAGCTAATATAGTTTTATTGTTCTATTATTTTTGTTTAATTCTATATTAGTTATATTTAGTTAATTAGTTAGTTCTATTTTGAATTTTATTAATAGGGATAGTCAAAGTTTTCCATTTGTTCCATCAGATAATGCGTTGGTAAGTTTTTCTTAAATAAATATGATAAATGTTCTTTAAAAGTTAATTTTAGTCATTTTTAGATGAGTTAAGGTCGATTCAGACACATCAGTCACGTTTCGTCACAGTGATTGCGCCGAACCGAACAATCCGTCATACAAACTATTCTTTAAAGGCAGCTTTACATCTAAAAAAAAAAAAAAAAAAAAAACTGCAATTTTAGATCCCACTTTCATTGTTGCCAACAGAGAAAATATTTACCAATTTGAGGTTATTTTATTTTAAATAAAAAATATAATTAAGTACTAAAATAAATAATATAATAAATAAATATACACTATTTATGGTTATTAAAAGGGTGAAGGATGTCAACCAAAGAAAAGAAAACATTGTTATTGTTGAATATTGCTGTTGTAGCAACAATCATCCATAGTAAACGACTCACCCAGTCGTTTTTACATTAACTTTAGACATAGTATATCTATTTATCACCACTTAATAAACTTAATTTAAATCAAAACACAACAATACACATTTGGGTTAAGGAACGCTAAAGATAGAAATAAGGTTATGTTTTATTCTGTAAGCTATTATAAATTGTTATGTTGGCAACATGAATTTTAACGATAAATTGCAAGAAAATTGCATGAAAAATAGAACATGTTCTAATTTTTCGTCTAGCACAGGAATTGCATGGAAATAGCCTGTCGGTATGCGCGGTTCCATGATCTGTCTTGCATGGCTCTTGCCTAGCATGAAAATAGCATAATGTAAAACCACTAAAACTGTCTTAATACAAATATGTTGCCGGCATTCACACTCATCAGTTGACAAACAGTTTCCCAGTTGTCAGATAGTTGATAGTTCTGTGACCAAACAGGACCGGTTCAGCGCCGAGACTATGACGGGACTGGTGTGTCTGAATCGACCTTAAAGATGCTGTTAAATTACAAGGTAATCAAACTGCACAAAGATTTATTCAAAACACCAACCATTTTTTTTTTTTTTATTATTTGCTCATTCGGCGTAGGTTGATTACTAAAATATATTTATAAAATTATGTAAATATGTTTTTTTTATTTTTTTATTTATTATTGAGTTAATGCCTCGACAACTAAGATCATTGGCATGGTACAGTCGGGTACCTAGTGTAGTGTGTGTGTGTGTGTGTAGCAAAGTCGACTTAGCAAAGTCGACGTCATTGTTTTTTGCTAAGAGACGCTAATTGTATCCGAACGTCTGCGGTCCATCCGGTAAGTACCGATCGCACAAGGATAGAAATTATTTTCATTGATTAATTTTTAATAAACGAAAATTTCTCCACCGAGATGAGATTCGAACTCACGACCTTTAGGTTTAAAGGTAGGCGCTCTTACCACTGAGCCACAGAGGGATTTAAATATGTTTTCAATAACAAAAACTTCTCAGTTAACATCCAGTTCAGTTTGACATGGCGACAAAAAAAATTCGCTTAGAAATTTATAGCATGTGTAAAGTTACTATTAAATATAAAATATATATTATATATTAAAAAATATATTTTATAAAAAAAAAATTACAGTAATTTAGTTTATATCGTTTATATCCAAATGTAGGCAACCAACTTAAACTTTTTGTTAGCATTTAGCTGGAGTTTCTTGAGAATAATTTTAATAAAAGTTTAATATTTTCCAGTTAATTTATTATTTTTTAAAAGTGATAATTAATAATGCTAAATCGAGGGGTTCGAGCGAAAACCCGATAACTAACAAAATCATTGTTCGGAGATAATCGCGATTAAAGATTTTCGTAACATTGAAGAGGCCTTAAAATCGTCATAGGAAGTTGTTTCAAATATTTGTTAAAGCCAAACAGTAGAGAATTTGATGTTTAGTTATAATAATTTATTTTTAGTTTAACTTATTAAAAGGTATTTACAAAAAAAATAAAATATGATATTTATCGGGTTTTTCCTTGCTGAATGAGTACAACATTTGATTTTATTGGTTTTTATTTTTAATTTTGTCAATTATAAAATAAAAATGAACTGTATTTTATTTAAATTAAACAAATAATAATCTACATTCTTTTTAGTAAATTAAAAGCTAATATCTTCTTCTTCCGATTCTTCTTCCATAATTATGTCTGGAATTCGATCTACGACATTATTTCCCGTTTTTAAACTTGATATCCAAGCATGCAGCTCTTCCGAAAAAATATTTTCTTGGCACCTATTTACTAAATCCTTTTTTTTGCTTCGCTTCTTGGAAGAGTACTTTTGTATAACTTTGGTAAATTACCCGGAGTTGGTAAGTCTAGGGTTGCTTTTTGGCAAAAAAAATTATTTTTGCCTTTTAGAACGTAGAGTAGGAGTTTTTTTTTTAATTTAAACTAATATCTTCTGATATGTTTAAACACTTTAATTCTTCTAAGATTTTCGTAGTTGAAAAAAATTTTCCTTGTTTCACCTTTAATATATTTTAGTCTCTTGATTTTTAACCACTGCACAGTATTACCGTCAGAATCTACTGTTATGTTTTGCAATATATTTTAAATCTAAAAATTTATTATATTTTATTTCTTTTACATTGTATGGGCCAATATTATGTTTCACATTGTCTACTGTCTTCATTTTCTGTTTTCTTGCTGTTTTTATTTATATAAATTGATTGAAATATATTTTTTCAATCATTCATGCAAGCTACATTTACATATTTACTTGCAGATTCTATTGCCGAGTGCATAGAATCCACTTCCATATAAGTATGTCCTGCTTCTAAGAACTTTTGTTCTATAATTTCCAATTGGTCGATATTTTATACGATTTACAACAGCAGTAAGACTATAAATTGATTACGGTTTTGACCGCCACAAGTATTTGAAAAAATTGTTACATGCTTAATCTCAGGTCCTAAGCATTCGCTTAAATAGTAATACATACAAGTTCCGATTTCAGAACTACCCTTCTTGCCATTGATTTCATTTCAGCACAAGCAATATGCGTTATTGGGTAGCGGTAATTCCCAAATAGTAAGATTGTATACTACCAATTTTCTACGATAGTATAACTAACTAATAGATCCTTTGGGTATTTGTAAAATTGCTTGTAAATCCAATGTTACAGACATAAATGTCTTGTCTTTATTTGCTTTGTCTGTTTTTATCTATGCTTTTAGCGGCCTGACAAATTTCGTTCCTTTTTCTATATTTTCTTCGTAGATTATTTCAAGATTGTTTATCTGCCCATAGATAGACACAGATAAGACACTGGTCCTTTTTGGGCCTGAAAAAACTTAGATTATAATCTTCACAAAAAATAGATCGATATTTACGTAAAGCAACAGGGTCTCGATTATTTTCGATGCAGTTATCTAAGTAAAGCTGGTACATTTTTTTGATATTTAGAATGGGATCTGAGTATTTTCTAATGGTATCCTTTCGGGTATAATGAGATTCCATAACCGGAAAGGATTTAATATGACTTTTAACAAATTAAACATCTTCAGCCTTTGTTTTGTTAACTAGTTCCTGTTTTCCGCGATTGTCTTCTTTAGAATAGCAACCAGTAGAATCACTGTTAGCTACAGCATTTGTTATAACATCTGGGGATATATACAGCGTTTTTGTAAAAAAACTTTTGGCACACTGGAATCCGTTCGTTGTTAGCTAGTGAACTAATCAGAACTACCGACCCAAAAAGGTAAATCGTTGTACTTCGTGTAACCTAAAATTGATTTACTGGGTTTTCGCAGGACAAAAATATGGAGAAATTTAATAAAATATAATAGTATAAAATTCTTTATTGTATTTTCGCATGAATATATTTTGTTAAAATTAACAGTTTTGTAATCTTCATATCCGATAAATTTATTTATATATTTTTAAAATCTTAACTTGTGAATTTCTTTAAAAAAGAAAGCAGTTAAGTTGTTCTAGCTTATTTTTCCTAGAACTGATTTTAAATTTCAGACATTTATTATAAATTTTAATTTCCGATAAAATTAATTATCTGTTTTTAGCTCAGAAATATTTCTAATAAAATTAGTAACTTTACACGGGAAAAGAAGATTAAATGATTCTACCGGATTCTCATATTATAAATATGTTTACTTCAAAGTATTTTTATTAGTAAAGTTATATATCGGGTTAATGTTATTTAAAAATATGAGTTAACGGTTTTTACCATGTTTGGTTTTTATCAATTAATTGTGCTCAAAAATGTTAATATCAATTTAAAAAAATTTTCAGTGATAGAAGACGTGTTTTTAATACAGAAGAAATAAAAATACCGTATTTCATAATTTTGTCATTTATCGGGTTTTCGCTCGAACCCCTCGAAATAAGCAATATTTTAAATGATGCGGATATAATCCGCATAATAAAGTACGTTAGATAAAAAGGTAAAATTCCGGGTCGACCAAAACTAGTTTCTGATAAGAATAATAGAATATTAT